CACTTTCAGTTCTCCTTGAAAAGAGCTGCGACATCGACCAAAAAAAAAAAAAAAAAAAATAGTTTAAAAAAAAAATAATCTTTTATGAATCATTGTAATAATGTTAAATGTTCAGTGTTTTCTGTTATTTTGTGTAAAAATATTTTGATGCAGCAGAAGAATAAAATCAAGGCTAAAATTTGAAGTTAATACTTTATCGATTTTACAAAACATATTGTACTCTGGTTTTTACATTTTCAATGTTTTTTTTGCATTCATTCCAGTCTGTTTGACATATTTACATGCAACAATAATGCAAAAGAAATGTTTGCAATCTTCTTTAAGGACAAGAACATGTCGAAACATTGGGGCAAAAGGTTTCTATGAAGCTGAGGGACCAGATGGGAGTGTGTGTGTGTAGGTGGGGGTGTTTTGGGGTGTGTGTGTCATGATGCATGTGTTTTCACCCAGCTTTTATCTGTGTGATCCAGCAGGGACAAGGATCTGAGGTGTGTGGGTAAATGAGTATATCTTGATATGGGCTCAGCTGTCAGGCCCATTACCTCCATTGCCAGGACAGAGTCTATCAAGCGTAGGACTTCGACATCACCTCCTGCACATGTTGACACACACAGCCCTTACAACTTGTAACCTTGCTTTAATGGGTTATCACTTGGGGGGATGTCCCCCCCACCTCCACACACACGCCATTTGTCTTCAAGGAGAAATTTGCAGCCTTGTAGAAGCTTCTTCTCTCTTCCTTTCTCTCCCTAATCTTCATTCCTCAGGTGGATGAGCCTGACTCCTCAGACAAGTGGAGAAGCAACTTGCTTCACTGCCATGGGAAAAGCAACAAATCTTTGAAATCAAATTATCGTACTGCCCTAAATTGGATTTGTTTCATTCCAGCTAAGGTGACTGCAGTTTCTGGCTTCTCTTACTGTGTGAGCCAAGTTTTCCTGGCAGGCCTCAGCCCACTGACCACGAATGCATGGCTCTGCTGTGGGATAGTGACTGAAGCAGATGTTTGGCTGTGTTACGGCCTCTGTAATAAGACAGACATGTGGCTGTGCTGGATCCAGAGGAGCAGGTGCTGCCACCACACAGCTATTACCATCTGCGCTGATGAGATCTGGGACTCAGTCATGATGGATGTTACAGAGTTATTATCCTTTAAAGAAAAAAACTTCAAACTGATAATTATGCAATCTGTTGAATTTGAAGGCCCACTAAAAAATGTCTGGATGATAGTTTAGGGGTTAGGATGTCTTCACAATTTCCTTCCATGTAACTAGATTACTTTAAAGCAGAAATTCTCAAACCTTTTGGCTTCTGACTTACAAAACAGTACCAGCATGATCTCATGACCCAAACTTTAGGTAAAAATACAAACATTTCTAACTACAGACTTAATGATAATAATAAAAAAAAAACGATTAACAACCAATGTGTATTTGGTTTAGTCTATATGTAAATAGGGATGCACCAATCCCCTTTTTTTTTTTTTACCTCCGATACAATACCGATATTTGAAGTTTAATGTCGGCAGATACTGATCCGATACCGATACCAAAAACACTACTGAATTATTAGCTAAAAATTTGTTTTATTGCGTGCAAAAAAAAAAAAAAAAAACTGGGATCATTCTTCCATGCATATGATTTGACTTCCCTTTTCTTAAAAAAAATATAAATGTTATTACTCATTTATATAACAACTGTGCACAAAATCTTAAACCAAAAGTTCTCTGACTTGGTCAACATGTAAAAAAAAGAGTCATTATCATTATCAAGTATCATCTCTTTGATTTTTTTTGGCCTGTATACTGTTACATGGAAATATTTCACTTCTTTTCTTTGCTTCCAAAGAAGCTAGCTGCTTCCTTTTTGTTTGCAGAGTCCGATAATCCTAGCATGTTCCTTGTTATGAAACTTCTGGAGGTGTTTCAATAAGTTGGTGGTGTTATATTTAATATGACCGTGTAGTGTTGTTGCACTGCCGCACGACGGCAGAACATAGCATAGAGTTAGAATAAATAGATCTGCCCCTATATCGAGTCAATTGTCATCAATTGTAGTTTTTTTTTCTTATATGTGGGCCGATGCCGATAAAAATATCGGATCGTTGCATCCCTATTTGCAAATGATGTTTTAATATTGTTAAACACATAAAAATCCTTAATCGTTATCAGTTCTATTATTTATTTTAATTTCTGTGCAGGAATTCAAGACCCCATTCTTGTTGATCTGTGAACCCAAATGGGGTCATGACCCTAGCATTGAGAATCAATGCTTTAAATTGTTTGGATCAATATTTTTTAAACCTGTTCTGAAAGTCTTATTTTGCTGCTTTCTTGTCCCTTTAAGTCCTGTTTATTACCTTATCTTAACTCAAACTGTCTAGCGTACTGTATGTTAACAAAGAAGAGAAAAAGAACAAGTAACATGTTAGAATTATGGAAAAAAGAACAAGAGACATAACAGCAGTAAAAATAGACTCATTTAGTCAAACTGAAGCAGTGAATTTTTGGATGCTTACCTAGACTTTTGGCAGCATTTACAATAACGTCTGAATTTCCTTGAACTTCCAGCCTTTCTAAACTGTCTTGGCATCATATTTGCTGAAAAGAATTAAACAGGTCCTTTTTCTCATGCATCCTGCGTTGGCTTAAGCTTTAATTTTGGTGCTTTTTTAATGTAAAATCAGCTGCAATGCTACTTTTTTTTACATTTATTTGCATACTTTCTTTAATTCATATTCTTTTGATCCTGTTAGTAAAAATGTATTTCCATCAACAGGGCCCTTTGCTTAAAATGCTGTATTAATGCCTTTAATAATGTCTAATGCTCTGCAAGCTGGAGAAAACTCTGATATTACTGTGAAAAAAAACAGATCTTGAATTTGCTCCTTCCAATAACAATAGTTACTATTTCTGCCCTGTCTTTGATACATTTCAGATTATCAAGATTAATCCCTTAAATTCGTTTCACTTATGAACACTGAAAAGCACCCTTGATATGTATCTCACAGCATCATTTATGCTAAGTGCTGGTGAAGATTCTCAACACAGCGATAGAGTTGAATACTTTGCCCTATCATCTCAATACTCATCGCTCTGCAGGGGACCAAGACATCTCGCCTGGTCAGCCAGGCCAACAATGACCCTAACAATTCCCTTTTAGAGGCATAGACCAGTATTGGGTATTGTAAGCTAACAAGGACCTCAACGACTCCCAATTACAAAGGGGTGGGCTCATTCTGTTCGTTCAATTTGCATGTTTTCTAAGCCATAACAAGGATTTCTTGGGCTACTCTATAAAGCTTACAACTCAGTGCTAATCATTTTGAATTGCAAAAGCTTCCTGGATGGGGATAAAAACATTAAACTTGGAAAACAAAGTTCAGTGTTTTTTTTTGTTGTTTTTTTTTTTTACTTTTTTGGAACATTTATGCAAATATTTTCCCTTTTCTGAATTGATACATAAAATGTGATTTCTTTACTTTTTGTGACACTATTGGTATTTTGGAGGGAGCAACTATTTATAAAATGGGTTGCGAATCAAACCTGGTACAACTGCACAGAAAACTACTGCCTTTGCAAATAATGCATCCGCCCTACCACTGATCTACCACTTTCTACACTTTAATGTGTTTTAATCAATTTGTTTCTCATTTAGAGCCCCTGTATGTGGAAGTTGTAACGGCAGCTTGAAATCTCTGTTGTGCAAAATACTCATTTTTGTGTGGTCAGGGCCTATAAGGATGCCTGGGAGAAATGTACTATGTGTAAACATTTAAGGTGAAGTACATTTTTTTAAGTGTTTCTTTCCTTGTAATCATTAGCATTTATTTTGTGCACTTGTTCTTTTTCACACACTTAGAGGAAGAAAATGGGAACACAGTGACCAACTTCTTTTTTGCAGAAGCAACTAACGTTTGTAGTTGTAAGTACGTACATTATACTGTAAACCAGGGGTCACCAACGCGGTGCCCGCGGGCACCAAGAAGCCCTCAAGGACCACATGGGGTGCCCTCTTCGTCTTCTGAAAACAGAAGAACTCACTCAGTGGGTAAGTTTACTTTTTTTATTCGGTTGCTGTTCTTTTTAATCATATTTCATCATGTTAACTATTTCATCATATTTCAGTGGTTTCAAAATGACAATATTAAAAAGAAAATTAGAAATGAATAAAAGAATAAAATAAGAATAAAAATTAGTTTCTTATGGATGCGATTTACTGTAGGTGAACACTGATCCCTCCAGTTCATAGATCAGTATTGGTAGCCCTTCCTATGACTCGGTAGCCATGAAGCAGCCCTCAACCTTAAAAAGGTTGGTGACCCCCGCGGTAAACTTAAAAAAAAAATGACAATATGACAAATTAGACCCTGAAGCCCAAGCTGTTGGTGTTCTTTTTTTTTTTTTTGTATGGATATACATATTTTTTAAAGGCAGTCTTCCAATTTGCAGGATAACAGAACAGAACACCCTTGGCGAGCTTCTTCTTCTGCTGCCCCCTAACCGAGCCGAATGCAAAAAGTACTTTCAATCCTAAGGTGGTATAAAATACAGTCTGGGGCTGTTAACAGCACATGTTTAAAATTATTAAAAAACAAGCTCAACCAGCAACCGACCATTAAGAATTTTTAGCGGTTAACCCCAGCCTCATGCTGCCCTGGGAAGCTGCCTATATGGCTGATGTTATGCAGGGACCTACATCTCCTAAATGCCTCCCTGGTAATTTTGTATCTTTTTTTTCTGATGTGTTTAATTACTCAAAATTATATTTAATACTTTTTTGTATAAATTAATTAAAATGTGACAAGGAATATATTGAAAATTGATTGAAGTTGATTCACTAAAGATACAACTAGGAAACACGTGATACATTTAAATGCATCTCGTCATATGCACAATAATATGAGATAGTAAAAACAAGGATACAAATAAATAAATAAATAAATAAAATGGACGTACGTGTTTTTAAACATCCTCTGACGTCACGCTGATGCAGATGGATGCGCGTGGATGAGAGGAGGGGAGGTATGGCGGAAGGGAAATAAAGAATTAAAATAAAACCTCGTCAGCTTTAATCCCCTTCCTCTTCCAGCCACCTGAAAGTGCGCAGAGCGACTGGCTCTACTGTTAAAAGCGACAAGAAACAAACTGATAGGAATCGCGGACCGTATTGAGGTCAGAAGAAAGCGTTGCCAGGGTGACACCGCGGCGGCGGGGGCGCGCCTGCCTGCGAGGCTGCGCTCGTTCGCGGAGCCGGAGCGGTCGCGGCATCCTCAGTAGCAGCAGCATCCTCCTCCTGCAACAACCGGAGCGTCTCCAGCTGAGCGTCCGCTGTGATCAGCTCCATCACACCTTCAGTCGGTGCTCCTCTCTGAAGGGAATTTGCCGTGGATTTACCGCTAATGACTGACTAAAGAGGGAGTTATAACCGCAGACTGCTCTGCTCAGGTGATACTTCCTGCACAAGAGGCAGTGATGATAAAGATTATTATAATGGATTTTTTTTAAGATGCTAAAACATGCATCATGCTTTCTGATTAACGTGACAATTTAAAGATTTATATAAGGATCTATTGAGGAAGAAGCCAAGCCGAGTGAGGCTTGTCTGCCTCTGCTCGGATCTGGTGTCTTTATAAGGCTGTAGAGACTCTATAATTTCTGTTTTAACATGGGGTCCCACCTGCCGATGGATTGAGAACGGACTGTCTCAATTTTGCATGTTTAATTTAATGCTTTTTTTTTTTTTTTAGACCGTTTTATTTTATTTATTAATTAATTTTTTGAAAGAAGCACTTTTTTGGCTGACTTTTTTTTTTGTGGAGGAGGAGGAAGAGGAGCACTCCATACCTGCAGCAGTGGAACTGATATTAACAGGTAGGATTAGATTCACACACTAATTTTTCATAAAAAATAACAACAAAAAATCTCTTAAAGAACAAATCTGAGTGTGAGTTTAAAACTGACATTGGTCACCTCTATGTTTTGGATTTGAAGAAATTCCAAATAACAGGAACATGCATGCTCTCTGCAGGCGAGCTTTTCTGTTAAAACTAAGAGAAAATGCATCTGCTGTACCTTTAATTAAGCTGAGCTCATCTCTGTGCCTTATTGCACGCAGAGTTCAAAGCTCAGCCCATGCAAAGAAACATTAATTAATGTGGTCTAGTCAGCATGCTTTTCCCTAACTGTTGCAAAAAGGAGCACGAAACTATTCACAATGGAGGAACATCTACTAGAGAAAGCACACACAGAAGGAGGAACAAAAAGCTCCCTTCAACAGCTGAATCATTCCTCAACTTAATATGAGCTTCCCTTCATTTGCTGCTTTTTTCACTCAAAGGCACCCTGCAGGAAACGCCACGGCCATGAGAGCATGACACACAAATAAATGCACACACTGCAAGAAGAATGGGGCGCATTTATATGCTGCGGCTGCTGTTGTAGGGAGGAAGGGGTGGGGGGTGCATTTAGATCTGCAGGGCCCTGCTGGATGATGGAATTCAGACGGAACAAGAAGAGCTCTGTTTCCGTCTCTGGAGCTGAGTTTTTGGCAGATAGCCTGGCCTTTACCAACCAACAGATAGGAGCATCTTCTCTGCAGAAAATGGGTTTTTAACGGAAGCAGAAGAAGGAAAATGCTCAAATTAGGCATCATAGAGGAGTTATCAAACTTTAAAATACTAGCCGACTTCATTAAAACACATGTATGCTGGTGGAGGAATCTTTTAAAGGCTCAGCTGCCTTCAGGTCAGCAGAGCTGGAAGCAGAGGGAATTGATGGAGAGGGAGGCTGAGGAGATTGATGTCTCCCAGCCTGGTTCGCTAAGCAGCTAACAGATGCAGTCGAGTGCTGTGACACAGAGGGATGGACGCACTTTCACAATCGTGTAAAAGGCCTAAATGTCAGATCTCTGCTGCTAATTTCGGCACCTCCGCCCAAACTGTTTGCTTGTTCTTTGGGTCTGGAGGGTTGCAAGGTGACAGCCGGTTTCCAGACCATTGCAGAAAGCTTGTCTGGAATAGCTGGGACATCTTGAGGATTGTGACAGTTGATGTGTTGAGTGGAGAGTCGATGTCTCATCTGATGAGTGTTAGAGAAATGAAATGCTTGTTTGAATGAATTAGTGAAGCCAAGTGTGGGTCCTCGGGGAGGTGCTGTTGTTCATTTCTTCTGCCTGCCAGAGGAAAAAAAGAGGGGTAAATTACAGTACCAGCTTAATTTTGTTGCACTCCTTGTAAAGATGCCTAAAAACAACAGCAAATAAATATTAATAAATACTCTGCTTTTTTAAAAAGTACAATCTTTTGCCTTATTAAGGTTTATAACAAAATGTACGCACACTCCACAGTGAACTGTACACACGTGTGGGCTGGCCAGCAATGGAGAATCATATACTCACTCATTGGTATGTTCATTTCTAAGGCTATACGTCAGCTCTCCTCATGTCTGTATGAATTTATTCAACCAAAAGCGGTTGGACTTTATTCTTTGCAATTACAAGAATCACTGTTCCTGTCTGTGCCAAATATCTGCACAGAAGCTGGCTGAATTTCACTATTCTGCCTCCACAGCATGAAACAATTTACTAAAAGACTGGAAATGAAAGGAATTGGTTTCAATAGGTCAGTTAAAACTCTTGCACCAAGGGTTTGGAAATAAAATCCATGGTTTTGTACATGTTTTAAATTAGTCTGATGAATTTTTTTGTTATGTATTGAGTTGTGATCGGTGCCACTGTCTCGGCCTTACCTGGCATAAGCCACATTGATGCATGTAGTCCAATTTGAATTCTACACAGTATCCACCCGGAAGTTGAAGTATTCGCAAAAGAGAAGGACATTCGTTACAGTTCTGATACAGCAGATGCTGTGACCAATCACATTCTTCATTTGTTTCATAGCTAGTGGAGTTAACTGATAAATCAAACTCTTACCAAATCCGGTTGGGAGGAATGCTCCAAACAACTTTCCCTATTCACAAAGGCACAAACTGGGTCCTTTTGCACGTCTTTGAAAAATAAATTGAAGGTATTCCAGCTAAAACTGGTGCAGCCATGTTTGTTTTGCTTCAGCCTTCCACCTCTGCTTGACGGGTCGACATTATTCACGTCACTGCATTTCATCTTGCTTGCAAGGTAATTATTGGTCAGCACTGCCTCGTTAAAAAGGGATTAGTAATCTACCTGATGGTTACCACTGGCGTAGATCCTCTACCGTCACCAACGATGGGGAATAGGATATTTTTTTCAAATCTTCATCGCTTTAAGAAGAGATTAAATAATTTGATTTGGATCTGATATTTACAGACTTCATTGAATTCAACTGTTTACGTTTGTTATTGTTGAGCAGAAAATTGTAATCAGTCTCCCCACATTGGAGAAACTAAACTAAAAGTAGAACCATCTTTTTTTTTTTTATTCGTTTATTTGATAGGGACAAGTATGTTTCATGCATCATGTCACACGCTATAACATTTTAGCTAAGGCTAATTCTCAATGTCTGTCCCCAGTTAGGCTTTTACACAAACACAGTGACTGTACACAAGAAGAACAGAGCAAATTACACATTAAAACATCACAGAAATAAAATCAGGTCAGTTAGGTTATTAATGTTCACATGACTGACCTCTCAATAAAAAGTCTTTAAGTTTATGTTTAAAAAGGACCCAGTTTGACTCTCCCTTCAGTTCTGCAGGTAATGTGTTCCATGTTTTGGTGCCTTGTACAATGAAAGCTGATTGACCGAAAGAGGTTTTGCGTCTGGGAACTTGACAGTTTCCACTGTGGGCTCCTCTTGTGACTGAGCCCACAGCTCTGAGAGGAACTACACCGTCACTCAAAACCTTAGGGGCCTTATCATGCAAGCATTTATATACCAGTTTTAACTGAGCAAATTTCACAAAGTTTTCGAAATTCAGCATTTTTAAATTGTTCAGACTAACACAGTGATGGGACCTGATTGGTTTTTTATCTAAGATTTTTATAGCTCTATTATAGATCATCTGAAGAGGCTTGATAGTAGTGATTGTGACCAAGAACTAATGCAGTAACTTAGATGTGAAAAGATCATGGAGTGCAGAAAACTGTGAGCAGCGTGAAACGGTAGGGAATCTCTAATCAGTTTGAATGTGTACAAGTTTGCTTTAGTCACTCTGGACACTTTTTTTACATGGCTGTCAAATTTCAATTGTGAGTCAAGTATTAGTCCTAGATACTTGATTTCTGAGACCTGCTGGATTCTAGCTCCATTTATCTGTAAATTTAGTTCTTGAGATATGAGCTTGGTCCTAGAAGAGAAACAGACAGACATAGTTTTTTTAACATTCAGAGACAGCCCTGCATTATGGAACCACACTGACACAGTTTGTAGATGTCCTGACAGTTCATTAGAAACTGCTTGCACAGTCTTTCCACGAACATAAATTACTGCATCATCTGCATATAAATGAAAACCTGCTGTTGGACAAGACTCTGGCAAGTCATTTATGTATAATGTAAATACCGTAAATTCTCTAATATAGGCCCGGGCCTTTATTTCACTCAAGTGCATCGCGGTCCAGGCCTTTATTGGATAGAGGCCAGTATTAGAGACAGGCCTCTATTGCTATTTGAGCAAAACAGACTACCAGTGGAATGAATAAAAATGATATTTTGTGTCTATTTGAACCTATAAAACACTAGGTTCATTTATTGAAAAAGTACAGTTACCATGTCTCGCTTGGTTTGAAGTAAAAAAAATATATGAAAATCCTCCAATTCTGTTTAATTCTCCTCCTCAGTTTCCTCCTCCTCTTCATCTCTCCCTTTAATCTCCTCATCACTCGCGCTGCTCCTCCTGTTCTGCTGCGTGTCTGTTCTCTTCCTCGCGCAGACGGGCAGCAGCAGGGCCTGTCGTCCAGCTGCGCAGGGCTGTGGTACTTGTATGTTACTACCACAAGTATAATGTTGAGGTATGCCCAGAAAAAACGTTTATAGCCCCGGCCTGTATTAGAGACCGGCCATTATTTACCTCCTCTGACAGCGAGACCGGCCATTATTAGAGACCCGGCCGCTATTGGAATACAGGCCAATATTAGAGAATTTACGGTAGTAGAGGGCCAAGGATGGATCCCTGTGGCACTCCTGTATTTATCTTTAAAAATGATGATTTTTCATTGTTTATTGTGACACACTGCTCTCTTCCTTCTAAGTAGGATTCAAACCACTGTAAAGTTTTCGGTGAAAATTTTAATTTGGATAATTTTGCAATTAGAATTTTATGATTTAACGTATCAAATGCCTTTTTGAGATCCAAAAAGACTGCGCCTACTATTTCCCCGCTGTCTATTGCCAACTTTATTTGTTCAACAAAATAACAGTTTGCTGTATCCGTAGAATAATGAGGTCGGAAGCCAAACTGTAAAGGATGTAAGATTTTATGATACTGTATGTACGCCATTAACTGATTGGAGACTATTTTTTCTAACACCTTAGAAAATACAGGCAGGATGCTTATAGGCCGATAGTTACAGGCCTGGTCTTGGGATCCTGACTTGATTTTAGTAGTAAAGTAAAATAATGTGCCATTGCAAGATTTTTACATCTAACATCTATATTTATTTTTCTTTTTTTCTAGCTTTTGTTGTCATTGCACTGTCACAGGTACAGAGCAACAAAATTAATTAATCTGCATTTTATCCATCTGCTTGGGGAGCAGTGTGGGGTTAATGGTCTTTTTCCTCAGGGAACCAAAGTGGCGGTCTGTGAAAGTGGGGCTTGAACTCTATAACTATATATATATATATATATATATATATATATATATATATATATATATATATATATATATATATATATATATATATATATATATATATATATATATATATATATATAT